CATAATCACGTTTATGCTGCCCTTCATAAAAAAAATAAAGAGAGAGTTTTATTAGTTTTGCATTTGAGATGAGAAAGAATGAAAATATTCTAAAAGATTCCTCGCATTCTTCTATATTAATGCCGTAACATCGGAGTCTGAACTTTCACAAATGAGGCAGAAGGTGAAAAGTAAGTTGTAGAAGAGGAACCAACATGATCAGGTTTCACTGTTGGGTTTACAATCTCTAGTCCCAAAACGGGAGTGAAAGTTACACTTGAAGCAGTGCCTGCCGCTCGTGAACGGATCGACGTTACACCACCCATTGATCGCTGTCGTTCCATTGTTTTTTGAAGTTTTTGTGACATCCTATATAAACATTCATATATTTGAAAAGTTTATGTGCATATGAATGGAATAATGCATATGAATGGAATTTATGTGCATAATGCATATGAATGGAATAATGTAAGTAAAATATTATATCGAAAATTTTAATTATGTGTGCAATCCATTACTGCCACACTCTATGGAAAAATCAAGAAGTGGAAACGTATTGGAGAAAAGACGCACGGTTAATGAAATAGGAATGTAATACACGTACCTGGCTCTTGTTTTCGGATCAATTGTAGCACTTCTGATCCGGCTTCCAGAAGATGGACCACTCAATGCTTGCCCAAGAGAGAATCCCATATTTTCTTGGATAACATCTTCAGCTAACTCACCAAAATTCATGCGATTCGATTTTTTCCTTAACTCCGTCATGCCCAGTCGTTCTTTCATCTTTCTTACTCGACGACCTCCTCGTTTTTTGCTAGCCTTAAAAAAATTGCGTAAAACTAAAACAATTCACTTCAAAACAACCAAAAAATTGAACAGATTGATGATTCATTTCGTCAGAAATGTCATCTTGAAGTTTTGCACCTGTTAACGGTACACATCTTTATGAAAAGGATGAAAAGCAATGTATTTGCCAAAATGGATTAACAGTGGCAGCTATTTTCTACCTTATCTCACTAAAATTTCAAGATTTTGAAGACAGATTTTGAAGAGGGTAAGATCTTGAAGTTTTTCATTAAAATGTATGAGTAGACACAAAAGACAATATTAACCTTATCTAAAGGCTTCGGTAGAGGTTTTGCAGCCTTTACTGGAGGAGGCTCCAACATCTTTTCTATTTTCTGCTTTATTTGTTCAAATAAGCTTTTTCCAATTGATCCATCGGATGATTCATGAATAAAATCAACACGAGCAGCGAGCGTTGTTTTGGCTGCCAATAAGCGAGAAGCTTTTTGTCTAAAAATGCGTGAAAATACAAAATGTATCATAAATGGGTATCTAGAGAAACCATCTCTGGATTAACTTGATTTTTGATATAATTTTTATCTACGCTAATAAGCAAAATATATAACAAACAAAACTTATGGTCAGAAACGATGGTACCTTAAGTCTGGTGGAACTCCTTGTACAATAGGATGAAAGAAAAGGAAACCAGCATGCGGCAACACAGCTGTCGAACTAAAACCACTCAGCGTTTTTTTCTGCGCACCAAGAATTAGGACATTACAAGCGGGAAGACGAGCCAGTGGAGCAAGACCTAAAAATACTCTTATGCTCTTAGAAGAGAATTATCTAATATTTTCTCTACTTTTTTATGTGATTGCAATTATTTCTGTATCTTCACCAATAATTCTTCCCTTTTCAGGGGCTAAAATTTATACAAAAGAACGATGAAACTGCAGTATAAAAATCATCACTTCAAACTAAACCTTTTTCATCAAGGTGTAATTCACATTTGTTATTTCAAAGCATGTAGTGCGAATAAAACATAACTCCTAATATAGACATCACTTACCTCCAGCTTTAGCGACGATCATTGCTGCTGTACCAGCTCCCAAAATTTCGCACAAATTCGGCGCAATAAGCGCCATCCTCGATTCAACCAGCTGATACATATTAAGTCGGTCGGTGTGCAATTGCTCAGCCATGTCGCAAGCTTCTTGTACTGCTGCCAATTCATCTGGTTCCAATGCTTTTCCTTGTGTAGTTGATGCTGTCACACTAACTACAATGCACGTAGCGGGCGCCAAAATTTCACTGAAATTCATACTTCATTTAAAAAAATACTGGAATTTTTTAGCTCTAGAAATATAATAAGATTAAGAAAAAAGAGAAAAAATTTGGAGATCAAAGTACTTCATTGATAATTAGAACTATTTGTATCAGAAAAACAGACCTCAAAATTTGTTTATTTTGTCCTTTAGTCGAAATATCATTTCCCAGAAGCTTTACAGTTGCTAAATATTCTAATGCATTTGGCACCAGAGATTCTAATTCAGGAAAACGTTTTTCATATTTGTCACGTACAAACTTATGAATAACGTTCAATTCCTGATCCACTTCAGCCGCAAGCTACAAAGGCAATTTAGTCAGAACCTGATTTTCACAAAAAATTTACAAACAAAAATACTTAGGATAGAAAATACCTGCTGGAAATCCGTGCGTAGCTATATATATAGCTCAAAGATATACGCGATCTCGGATAACATAACATCACTCACTATTAATGAAGAAAAAAGTTTTTTACGAATGATACTGAGAAAACAGGAAAGCAACACTCTGTTAATTGCATTATTCAAGTATTCAAGTAGTAAAGATGAAGAGAGAATCTGCATAAATGAATTTCGAATTTAAAGGATAAAAATGATTTATTGCTTACCCCAGAAAGTTCCACAATCAATTTGTACTGTGGATCTGCTTCCAGTGGCTTTGTAACTGGCGGAATTTCTTTCAAATTTAGTTGCTCCTGCATCTTGTTGATAAGATCCTTGTAACTACAAGTAATCAAAGAGTATAAAATTAAAAGTAAAACTTTTATTCTTACATGAAACAAATCAAAAGGTGAACGAGTTAGAAACTTTGCCTCTAATTTGTCCCTAGTGTTTCAGCACTTACTTTCAGCTACATGTTTAAATACAGACTTCTAGAAAATTATATTTGTATACTTTTGATTCCCTAGTAATTTTGCCACGGATCCAACTCGATCATAGACACTCATGGATGGTAGTTGTTCATCCACTTCTTCTAAGCCTTCTCCTCCATCTTGTTCTGTTTCCTCCACTAATTCCTCATCTTCTAAATCTGCCAAAAGCTCATCCGCAAGCGACATTCTCGCAAAGAATTGATCTAGCAAATGTCAACCGAAAGGAAACGACAATTACCTGTAAAAATTTATAAAATTAAATTGAGCCCTAATTTAAACATAATTATCATCTTCAACATCAATCATTTTCCGATCCAACGGAAAGAAAAGAGTGCCTAACTGACGTTCAATTTTATTTCATATTTTGTTTTTAAAGGAGTCTCAGTCAAGGTAGCAGCACATATGAATTCGCAAAGATCGAGATGTAGTTTAAACTTGACCAGTTCCTTATTTTGACGTTTTCTTACTTTTAAAATTCCTTATTTTTATAAAATTTCCTTATTTTTGAAATTCTTTATTTTTATGCATGCTTGCATACAAGATCTGTTCCATATGTCTTCACGTTACATGTCAGTTTTAATTCTCCAAAATTTTATATGATCCGCAAGTCCAGGTAGGAAACAATAACTTGTACCTATGTAAATAGCATCCTAAAATATTCCCAAAATTATCAAACCAATTCACTCCATTTACAATATGAAGTCCGAAAGATAGAATATTTTGAAAAATCCACGTGAAGATGAATGGCATAAAATTCTCGTACGATTCCAAAAGTGCATTTCATTGCTGCGTCATATTTTTTCTAAAATTTACAAATTTTAACAAACCATACCCGAGCCTGTTGGTCAGAGAATGGTTTGCTAAAATTGTGAAGCATCGGTACATCATCGTGCGGTGCATAAATTGATCACAATAAAAATTTTTGTTTGTCGTTCAATTTTTCAATTAATTTTATGGAAATTTATGCGTTTCTCATTTTATTTGTTTCTTTTTACTGCAAAATGTATCAGTATTATATGATTTCATATATAATTCAATTTGTTATAACGTTATTTTTTTCCAGTTGGTTTTAAACTCAAATTAAACTGTTAAACATGTGTTATCAAAATAGATAGAATACACATTTATTAGATTTGGATATTCTAAACATTTCTTTTATTTATATAAATAATAGTAATTTTTAAAAATTATACTAATCACAATTTTGTTTCGTTAATTTATTAGTTTTTATAAGGATTTTGCCGATTTCTGCAATAAAATCTAAAATGTTTTCCTATACTAAAATTTGAATAAGATAATTTTAAAGAAAATCAATCCGTTTTGTTTATAAAATTCAAACTGCAGAAATTTCAGAAAAAAAAAGAACTTGATTTTAGGGATTTCGGAATCAAATATTTAGAGAAATAGCCACTTTTTAACAGTTTGTAACGAAATATTGCCGATAAATTATTATCAGTGGAAAACAAAGACAACCGAACGGTCATTTCTTCGCTTTTCTTTACATTAATTTTTTTCTACTTCCCCTACTCTATCCACTTTCCATCATTCGACTCGAGAAATGCGGAAAACATAAAACGTGAATCTAAAATATGAAACAGATTATACTCAAAAAATAAAAAAAAAAATTATCAAGTTTTGAATCATTGATAATTCCATTACTTCTTTCTTGGTTGTTTAGGAAAATACTGTTAGATATTATCTCTATCGTAAAATGCTTTTGTATACCAAATAGTGCTTTCACACTTTATTATACATTATCAACTTTAATTTTGCATGTTTTTTTCCTCACCTTTTTTACATATATTTTATCATTAACTTTAAGTTTGCATGCTTTTTCACTGACTTTACTTGCACGTATTTCACAATTAATTTTAATTTTGCATTTTACAATTAATTTTAATTTTTTCACTCATTTTAGCTGCATGTATTCTTTCTACTCATTACGTTTCTTTGGTTAAATTTTTTCTTATATATTCTTGCTGCATGCTTATTCTGCAATTTAATTTAATGTAAAATCATTATTTTAGCTTTACTTATTTCCTTATTGCATGAATTTTCTGATCATTTCTAATTTTCGCATGATTTTCGTTAACTTTTTCTTCCTTACACAATTACTTTTGATTTTTCCTACATGTCTGGTGTATGCTTTCTGCTAGCTTTTTGTTTTTTGTTTGATTTTTTGTTAAATTATGTTTTTAGATAACTTTTAGAATTAATGCCATTTATCATTTGACTTTCTGTTGATTTAACTCAATGCGTGTCCTTTTTCTCGTTCCGTTTATTTTTAAGTCTTAGTGGTCAGCATACTTATTAAGTGGAATTTCGCTTAATAAATATGTTAACTGGTAGAACTTAAAAGTAATGAATGCATTACTAATTGAATTGAATTATCCAAATTATTAATTAGCTACCTTCCGCTGTATGTGCCTTTTAAAGAATTTATGATTTCAGCAGTTTGTTGTTCGTATAAGTTTGTGATGTAATTTTTTTCCAGATATTAATTAGTTCTGTGAAAGTTTTGGTCTGATACTATCACAATTAATTTCTTATTTGCATTTTCCGAATTTCATAACAATGTTTAAATTCTCTTTTATGTGAGCACTTCGTCTCTTTCCTTAATTATTAAATTATATATACCGTTGAACCATTCCATTCCATTATTATATTGATTCTTTCTCTTTAAAAAGATAATTGATTTTATTACTTTATGAATTAATGATTAAAAAAAGCCTTTTTCTTAATTAAGTGTCAGTGATTAACAATCACATATGCTGCATACCTCAGACAAATTACCATTGCTGAAATTAAATGGATGTGATTATTAATAGCGAGTAATTTTGACATTGGAACTTTTTCTAATATAAGTTGTAATTAATTATCTCAAAATTGTTCTTTCTCCTCATTTTGATTTCATATGTTTTTATCCAAAAGTATCAATACCAATATCACATTAATAATAGTATTGTTGTTATCAGCTTATTTCTTTTCT